TTCCATCCTCGTACCTGGAGGTGGGTTGGCGGGCTTGCTGGGGTGGTGCCCGCGGTCACCTCGAACTCGATGGCGTGATGGTCGGATTGGTTGTCCACCTCTGACCGCACCCTCCATCCCCTTAACATGCGTGCAGCGGGTTCGGAGGCCATCGTAACGTCTACGATGGAGCCAGCGCCCCTACCCACAAAGGTAGGTTCCGTCCCCTCGTTAACGATGATCATGCCCAGTGTGTCAGCAACTGAGACCAAGCCATCTCCGCGCGCGTCGGTTACCCAGTCTCCCCAGGCAGCCGAACGCGCGTTGAAGTCGCCCGCAATGATGACCTTACTGGCTGGCCCAAGGGACCGCACGCTGGTCTCCAACCTTTCCAAAAAGGAGACAAAACGGGCTGGCGGGATGTTTGGCGAGACGTAACAGCTATAGATGTGTGTGCCACTTATCCTTGCTGCCACGTACTCTACATCCCTCTCGACGGATCCCACCGTCACTCCTGTCCCGAACACTCCCAGGGCTGCTCGACCAGTGTCGGTGCTAGTTAGCCAGCCACCGACTCCGTGTGCCTGCCTGTACGGGTCCGAGGCTATGACCACGTCGATCGCTTCCTCAGCGATCGTCTGGGCCAGGGTGTCCTGGGCCAGCCTACAATGGTTGAGGTTCGTTTGGAGGAGCCTCATACACCAGGCTGGCCGGTAGAAGGACCCTGCATTGGGTCCATCTCCATAAAGGACACCTCATCCACGGCGTCGATATCCTCTATAACCACCGAGATCTTCTTTTTATGCTGGGGTGGTTGTTTCGTTAGCTCGTCGAACGACTTGCGGTCCTCCCTGGACGCCTTGCATTCGATGATCTTGTGGTCTTTCGACCCGCATCTAAAGCAACCACCCTTCCTATCTGGACCAGTGCAACCTTTCATTAGATGTCCAACTCCCAGGCACCTGAAACAACGTCGCGTTGTTCGGTCGCCTTCAGGTTTCTCCTTGATCGATGGTTTTTCCTTGCTTGCACCTTCTGGCCGCCTGGAGGTGTTGGTTATGGTCCTGTTCCTCCTCTTCCTCTTTCTCTTCTCTTGCGGTGGGTTAGTGGTAGCATTGACTTCGGTTTTTTCTTTGCAGTCCTTCGCTGCGTGCCCCTCCTTATGGCACCGGAAGCACCGTCCCGACCGGTCTGGTCCGTTGCAGCGGGTGGACGTGTGGCCCCGCTCCAAACATCTGAAGCATCGTGGACCTTTGTCCTCCATGACCCTGACGCGACAAGTTGTCCATTTGACACTTATTTTCTTGGCTTCGACCAATTGTGCGGCTACCTTTAGCGGGGCCAATAAGCGGGCTACTCCTTTGGTCCCATCTTTGCCCCTCGAAACCACCGGAAGGCGCACGTCGTTCCAGTGGGCTGCCGCTGGGCCGTCCTTAACGATGCTTCTGATGGCCTCTTTGATGTCGTCTGCTCCGACCCACTCCTCGACATCGAGCACGAGGACGCTCGCTAATTTGTTAGGCCTGCCGACCCTGATGGACTGGCCAATAGCCTTCCTTATCTCTTCGGCCACTCCATCGGCCTGATCGCAGGTGCCCTTCAGTTGAAGCAGCACCGCTCCGCTCTGGGTCCTTCTTGTGCCTTTTATGGACACCCCGAATGACTGGAGGTTTACAGATGCCATGATCTTGCCCATGACGTCCGAGCATCTCATGTCGCTGGGGATTGGGCCAATGACTATGGCCTCCGTCCTTGGTGCCCTCCTATTTAGGTCTTCTGCTGAAGGCCCTTTCCTAGGGGGGGGGGCGCTCACACCTAGTTTGTCTAGATTTTTTAGTTTTCAATTTTTCAATTTTTTCTTGTTTTTCAAATTTTTCAATTTTTTCTAGTTTTTCAATTGTTTCTAGTTTTTTTAGTTTTTCAATTTTTTCTAGTTTTTCTAGTTTTTCAGGTTTTTCTGGTTTTTCAGGTTTTTCTTATTTTTTCAATTTTTTCAATTTTTTAATTTTTTCTTTTAATTTTTTCTAGTTTTTCTAGATTTCTAGTTTTCTAGTTTTTTTAGTTATTCAGGTTTTTCTTATTTTTCAGTTTTCAATTTTTTCTAGTTTTTCTAGTTTTTCTAGTTTTTCTAGTTTTTCAAGTTTTCTAGTTTTTCTAGTTTTTCATATTTTTCTAGTTTTTCAGGTTTTTCAGGTAAAACTGGTAAAATTAAACAAAACAATGGATAAAATAAATTCAATAAAACATACGTAGTTATCATTTGATGACATTGACTAACACTTATGAATTAGATTAACTTATTTAAACTTATTCGAACTTTTTTAATTATTAATAGGCTACATTACGGTTAGGCATTTCGCAAAAATAATTAAACCAAAAAATCGTCAAATCGCCAACAAAACTTAAAAAATCTATTCATTTTTTATTGTAATTTAAATATTTGAAAAATAGATCGAATAAATTTGTGGTGGTTTATGACAGTTTATTAGATATTAGATTTATAAAATATATTATGACCACAGGCTATATGAAAATATTCTGCGATATGGCGGTGTTATCATTACATAATATAACATTTTTATCACGGAAAAGTAACGAAGCATTTTTTCTTTAAATGAAATTAGTACATAAAATGGCTGCTTCTTAAGTCCGGAATTTTTAACTGATTACGCGTTCCATATAATGAGTTACATCCAATATCCATTTAAACCCATATTTTTAAACTACTTGAATCACTTGTTCTAAGTTCCATTGCTCTATCTGTTAATACTGTCTTTATGGAAGAGCAGCATGGGTTTCGCCCTGGCCGCTCCACCACAACATGCAATGTAATGTTTAGAGTGGAGACCATTATATTAATTTACTATTAAAAAAATATATATATTTAAATATTTAAAAACGATATTTCAATATAAATTAATTAAAAATTATTATATTACTATTTTTCCATGATATTATTTCATTTATGGGATACCCAACAAATCTTTCTATCGCTTTTTAACGATATCAACTCTCGGACCTCTCTCTACTATCAGTACATTTCTTTATAGTTCTATGGTCTCCGTACTATTATTAATATAAAAAACAAATCTTTATACGCTGCCTTCTAATTGTTTTTTTTTTTTTGTAATAATGGTGTTTTTACTAACGTGCTGTAATAATATTATTATTATTCTAAGAATTAACATAATTAAAACCTAATCCTAACCTAATATATCACACCTATTTTGTTTTATGTTAATACATTTTTTTCCAAAAAAAACGAAGCAATAATATTTATATTTTTATCACCTTTTGATTGGATCAACAATAATTGTAAACCGATATCCGGAATAAGACGATAAACCAATCAATGGTAATTTTAAACTTTTTTTTACAAATCAAATTGTACTTTTGTTTTCCATAGTTAAATACAATATTAAGTTGTTAAAAATCTACTCGTCTTTGTCTTTTTTTACAAAAAAAAAAATACAGAAAAAAGTTTTACTTTTCACGCGTACAATCGTAACATACACTTTTTTTTAATGCATTTAAACATCATTCACAAGTTGATGTCATCTATTTATTATTAAAACATATTTACATTCTGTTTAATTAAAACTATAGGTTTTTTAATTTGTTATAATATGTACATACATGACTTAAATAACATAAAGAGGGGGCCGTTCACTAACGGCACCTCAGAATATAACTATAAATAATTGTGTAGTTTTCTTTTTTTTATGTATACCAATAAGCAATAAAGAATTAAGCATTTAAAAAGTGTTTTATTAACCTCCACTAAACCGGCCATCAGCCAAGAGAACTACATAATAAACTTGAAACATGAATTTTAAAAATTTCATGTTTTGTTGTAAACACTTACTATACTGTCTTAACAGTATATGCAAAAACTTGCAAGCAAAATAAGGCGAGTAACCGACGTTGTCGAAGCCTTAATTATAATAAAAATAAAATAAATTTTTTAAAAAACATTTTAAAAGCTATAAATATAAAATGTGGTTATTTTATATTATGATGCTGGAATAACAAAACAGATGGCTGTTACATATAAAGAGCAAAGGGGAAAAACGGTAGTTGTCACATCATGGACATTTTAGAGTATAGCAAAAACAAAGTTCGTGAATTCCTCTACCTCTTACATAAGAACAAAAAAAAAATCACATTAAATGCTACTCTAATAATAAATACATTTATTTAAACAATCTGTTGGCATAAATAAAAAAAATTATTGGTATAAATTAAAAAAAACTATTTGAAAAAAAAATGTTCACAATGTGACTACTACCGTTTTTCCCCTGTGCCTTTCATATTATTTTGTTCAAGATGGCTATAGTATACCGGTAATGTATAGTATACGGTATCTTGGGATAAATCGTGACATTAATTTTAAATACTATACTCTGGTTTTAGTACAAGAGTAATGTCAATAGATATTTTAACTGTACTAATACAGAAACGATTACTCGGTAAAGTAATCGTTAGTACTTGGAAAAATGTTTTAGGCATAACTTTTTTTCCAAAATTAAAAATACATAATATACTATAATTTATAGTAGGTATAGTATATTATAACGTTCAAATAATTTATATTGTTGTTTGTGCAAAAAGTATAAAAAATAAATTATTATTTTTTAGATATTATGTTATTGTGTTGTTTACAATTAAACTGTATCACTTCCTACATCTGGGCCTGTGTAAATAATAATGATTTGTAGGACATGTATAGGAAATGTAATATTACGTGTGTTTACAGCTGCTGTTGTTGGGGTGTAGAAAGTAGAACATCTTCTCTACGACCAATAAAAGTATTCCCGAGCACTTAATTAGGATATTTCAAGTCTTTTACGTCAAAAGTTTTGCAAACAGGAAAATAATATTGTTTTTCCAATGTATGGTCTTAAGAAAATAATGCCCATTTTGTTGTTTGTTTAAAAATGCATAGTATTTTGATAATTCCGCAGTTTTCACTTATATATATAACAAGGAAGGTATCAATAATTCACAGAACATATCTCTAGTATATACCTACCTATCAAATCTACCCAACATTACACTCAGAGTTATAATACTCATCTGATTACTCTATTTGTTGAAAATGTTTTCAAAAGGAACTTATAGCAAAATGATTGCAGTATCATTTTTCCTTTTAACACTCGCTACTGGTAATATAAATTAGATACAATAATACAATTATTATTATGCAATTAGAAATTTGATAACATATTTTATGTTCCAGTTTTAAATGGAGCACCTAATGGAAAAGGTAAGTGATTTTATACATCATTAAAATCTTAACAAAATGTTGGTGATACTAATAGATTGTTCTGTAATAATATTTTTTTAGAAAAAAGTGGAAGTCATAAGAGCTACGTTAGTTGTAATAGTGCCAATTGTAAGTAGCATTTATAAATGGTTTTTATTATCTTAAATTTTACAATGTTGTTGTATAGACTTTTAATAATATACATATTATAATAATATGAAAATTAAAGGTATTTAAGGTATGTGATATTAATTGAACCAGTACATTTTCATTGGATGGCCTGTGTACTATGCTGTTATGTAAATAATCTTATTGTTTTATAGATGGTCGCAAACCTGAAGAAACACTTCCAGAGACAAAATTAACGAGCTCTGGTGGTATGTTCAAATTATAATTTTGAAAAACTATTAAACTAGTTTAATACGATTGGAGTTCTTTAAATTCACACAATACATTATATTATGTATTTGCACATTGGGGGTTGAAATACTAAATTATGTGTTACAATTTTGAAGTTTTACTGAACATAAATTGTTTTGAAATGCATATGTATAATGACTGGGCGTCATTCTGGAAATTTGTTCGTCACGTTTTGTGTCACAGTCAATATGATTTATGGAATAGGAGTATGGAGGAAAATTATGGAGGGATTATAGAGAGTTTGTGAAGGAGGATTATAAGAAGATTATTAAGGAAGATCATGGAGGGATTATGGAGGAGTATAGAGGATTATAGAAATAGTAGATTAGAGATACTAGATTGCAGGACATATTCATGTATGTGTGGATACTCTTAACTTGTTTTTAATTATAATAAATAATAATTGTTAATTGTTACTTATTGTTAACCATATGTACGATACAGTTCATGCCATTTAGACTAGAAAGTCTATATCATATATTATTTGGCCTTTGACATACATTGCACTATGATATATTGTTTGTATTACCTAACCGTATTGGCTTTAATAATATTGACTCATTGGTGTTTTATGGAAAATACATTTTTTACAACCCAGCATAATTGGTTTTTTTAAAATGTAGTTTTTGTATTAAATGCATTTGTCTAGCTACCTACTAAAAACTCTAGTTAATTTTAATAGTTTTATTGCAGGGTTAGGTATGACATTCTTTGGCGATAAACGCGATATAGGTCAGTATGCTGTATGTTTTTTAACCTCTTTAAATTGTTAATCCACCGAATTATTACTCTATTTATTGAAATTATAATATCACTTGTTGTAAATTTCAAATAATTTTTTTTTAATCTTATAATTCTTGTTAACAGCACAAAGTTCTGAATATTATACTGGACGTAAGAATGATTTTGTTTTATACTTTATGACCTAATTTTTTAAAGTATGTTAATTTGCATATTAAGTACGCAAAACACTTACTGTAAATTTTTAATAATTTTTTTTACCATTCCTGTTAACAGAATCGACTGCCGGAGGTAAGAACGATATTTTTTTATATTTTACTAACTAATGTTTTAAAACATATTATTATGCACGTTAGGTACAAAAAAAACTCGTATATTTAAATTGTTCACTTTAATATTTTATCGTTTTTGTTAACAGTTCAAAATTATACACAATCCACAACAGGTTGGATAGAGTAAGAATGATTTTGTTTAATATTTTATTACTTAATGTTTTAAAGTAACAATCAGTGTCTAAACAGATTCGTTATTTTTTGCTTTGAAAAAACTGAACAATACACAAATAATTTGTGAAATATCACACATAGATACCGATTATAACTTTCTAAAATTAACTAGTTAAAAATGCCATTATAATTTATAGTTATAGGTATATTTAAGAGAAAACAATTTTATATCTTGTACAGTTATAAAAAAAAATTATAGCGAAAAACAACCGTTTGTTAGTATAAAGAAAAGATACGATTTTACTGTTGTAATTCTCTGGCTCGAACACAAGCTACGCTTAAAGAAAGTAGATATAATTCGAATGCAATTTGATTATTGTACAATTGTTTTAATTTGATCGATAAAAATAAAACATTTTTACAATAAATGTAGTCATAGATTATTTAAAGTAAACTTATAAAGTAAATTTTTATGAAATATAACCAATTATTTTAATAAAACATATAAAGCACTTAAGAGCTTAAAAAGTTAAACGAATAGATAGGTTCATCGAAATATTTCATTTTGCATTTGTTCATTTTGAACCGGCCAATGTAATGTATGCCCATTACACATTGTTTATTTTTAAATATTTTATTTTTTTTAGTCGCTTGTGGGGTAATGGAAAATCGTAAGTTTTTAGTTATATATACTAAACACATCATATTCTTCTTACTATAATACGTCGCTTAAATATATCTCATAATTAATTACATAATTTATTTCCACTACAAAGTTTTCAAACAAATTAAATAGAACAAATGGAATTTAATGTTTTTAATATTATTTTTAAGAAATTTATTTTAACAATTCATCTATTTTTTCATTTTGTGTGCTACGCGAAAACATATTCATTTACAGTTAAACTAGGTAAAACAAATATTTAAATTAACTAATTGAACTTGATTGTGACTATTATTTTTTAGCAAAACCATCAAATTCAATTAGTTAATTTCAATATTTTATCTAAATTGTATGCACGTAGTTTTACCATTGAGTATATATTGTACAATATAAACACAATAGATTTACTATTAGTGAATATCCTTTCGCGTAGCTAGTAGTACACAATAATTAGGTGAATTTTTAAAATTAAATTATTCGATTGCGCTACTTCTACATTGACATTTAGTTAAAATGTCTACCTACCGGTCGTTAACCTTTCTGTATATCCTAAGTACCTGTATTGTTCTATCCGTTAGTTTTTGTCATTTGTCCATATTTATTTTATACTTTCGTGTGTTAGTAAAAAAACAGTAAATAATAATTGAAGAACCGTCTTTCTTATATTTTGTAGACCAACCAAACATATTTCTACGCTTTTTACTGAAAAATATCTGATCGTCCCTTTTCCTCTTTAGAATACAAACCTAACCACTAATATTTTCTCGTGCGTTTTTCATAAATGAAATAATAAAAAATAAAAGTGATACTAAAATGAAAATTCTAAACGATAAAATATTGAAATGTTTTACTGAAATGTAACTAAATTATTTAACAAATCAATCGAACCTCTAAAGACTTAAAAATGTCGACGGAGAGATAGGTGTAATGTACACAAGTATGTACATTTAATATACATCGATTTTTTTAAAATATTTTTAATTAATTTTTTTAGATGAATGTGTTTCATTATAAACCGGAAGTTTTACGTATATTTCCTATATACAACGCACTTTTATTACTATATTAAGTCATTTAAATTTATAATTAAAAAATAGTAAAATATTTTATAAAATTAATTGATTTTAATTAAAAGACATTACAATAACAAAAGATATATTGTATAATTTTTAAGTTGCACTTTACATTGTGAATTAATTTTAAAATATTATATGCACTTGATTATTCACATATATTATGTATTTTTTAATTGATTAAATACTTTATCGATAACCTATTTTATTCTTCTTCTATCCTGATAATAACTATAAGACACTCCGTAATATTGTATGACATATGTAAACTAAATTTCGAAAGGAAATCTGAAAACCGATTTGAATTGGTTATAAAGTTTGCTTGACATCGCTTATGACATTTTTTTTAATTTTCAATTTTAACCTTTTCCAAAATATTTGAAATCTAAATAATTTTTAAACGATCTTATGCGTAGTTGAAAAACAATAACGAACAAGTACGAGAACCGATCTTGAGTAAATTTCATTAAAAATTCAAATGAGTTTTTTTAAACATTTTTTTTTTTTAGGATAATATTTATAACCTATACAATATGTTTAGTATAATAAGTAAATGAGTTAATAAACAATATGAAATTACATAGCTTGAATGACTTGATCAAGGAGTGGTCCGTTGGCCACACCTATAGTCGGTTAATAGATCTCTATTCTACTTTCTCTTTAATCTGAGGGGTCAGAGTGGGATCGATGGCAAAGTATTAGTAGACATTTGTGAAACTAATGGGTTTTTGTGTGTCAATAGATTTAAATGGAAACGTTTGTAATGTGTTATAGCTAGTTATTTGACTGTGTTCATTCGTAAATCCGTATGTAGGTTTTGGTTGGTTATGTACCACGGTGCTTTTATAATCAGCCTTAGAGCAATCAACTAAAACGCTTAGATTGGTCTAGTATGAGATGGTTTGGTCGGACCGCAGATTTGGATACCTATGACCAAACTGGTCGTATGATAGTTTTGTAGAGCAAAATTTTAGTTTTTAGTGGTAGTTTTGAAGTAAGAAAAGGACGAAGAAGGTGTAACCTGTTGTTTGCACATATTTTGTTTTTCTTTTAAATCGGGACCCCACGGTAGACGTTTGACCAGTAAGATTCCCAGGTACTTAATTTCCCCTCGTATTATTGTCAACCTACCGCCGTAATTACATGACATTCATCCACGTACCCCCTTTGTTGGTAGTTATGTTATACTGTTATGTGTTAATAAAGGAATAATTATTAATATTAAATATTAGTTTTTTTACAGAAAAGCAGTATTTGATTGCTTTAAATAGGAAGTAGATATATTTCAAATGCAATTCATTGTACTGTGCAATTATTTTAATTTGTTTAATAATTTTAAAAAAATATCCAATAAAAGTAGTAATAAACAACAAAAAGTAACTCTATAAGTTTCAGGTGTTCTGAAATTTAACGAATTTTTGTTCTAAAGACTTAAGCATGTTACCGAGGTACAACCGAATATTATATTTTGTATTTGATTATTTGAAATCACATAGTGTTATGTACATTTAAATATACATTTATTAACCATTGATTATTTTAAAATATATATTTTTTTTCTTGAGATAACTGTAGGCTAATGTAAAATCGCTTTTAGGTATATTTTGTATGTATAATGTACTCTTTTTACTATAATACACCATTTTAGGTATTCTATTTAATTTTAATTTTAAACAAAATTAAATAAAAAGAAATTTAATTAAATGTCTTTAATATTATTGTTAAGATTATAACTATTAAATCATTTTTTTCTTAGTGTGTGCTACGGAAAACATATCTACTATAAGCAAAATTAAGTACATACAAATTTTACCAAATATTAAAAATAACTAATTGTATTTCATCGTAATTTATTGTGGCGGTTATTATACAGCTAAACTATCAAATTCATTTAATTATTTCAGTATTTAGTCAAATTTGTATGCACTTACAATTAGTTTTACTCTCATTTAATATGTGTTCACTTAGCACTAAATTACCTGATTTTATTGGGTCATTTGTTTTAAGTTTGTCAAACAAAATAAACAATTGTACACTTAAACGAATAGTATTTGAAATATGTCTACTTTCTATAAACGTGAAATAACATTTGATTACTTTGAAATTAAATTTAATTAAAGGTATTAAAATGATAAATTGTATACATTTTAAGTTGCACTTTACTTTGAATTAATTAAAAATAATAAATTATACCTGATTGATCACAATATACACTGTGCCTTTTTCAATTGATTAAATACTTTATTGATATCTTCAGTTATCCTTATCTTATCCTTAATACGAAGTATACATATTATTAGAATAATATGATGTTTATTAGGAAATTATGATCATTTTATGTTTATTCCAGTTTCAAAAGCTCAATCAAAAACACTTCAGTTTTGCTAGATCACATAAGTGTTTAACTAATCAAAAAAAGAACTATTATAAAAAAAATATATATATATATATATAATATATGAAAAAAATATTACATTAAATTAACAAATTATTGTAACAGCTATTTAATATATTTTGTACAAGTTTAAAAATATAAATTATTACTATTAACCAGTTAAAATCGATAATACCGTGTTTTTTTTTATTATTATAAAAACTGGATTAAATTATTGATAATTAATTGATAATTTAAAAAAAACGCATTTGGTTTGCACAATTGAATCGGAATAAAAAAAATAAGCCAGTACATTGGGGTCAGGGAATAGTGGGGACGGAGAGGTCACAGGTCTACAGATTTTATTATAACTGAAAGTGATAAAATAACTTTTAAATAAACGCTTCGATGCAAATCTGTGGATAGTATGTTCAAACCAGTTATAGTTCCATATAGATTCAGCGGTTTTAGAAGATATCGTGGGACCATAAAAAATGTTCTTAAAATTTAATATTTAGTCTTGTGCAAAGTGAATACAATAAGGGTTGATCGTCTGCTTATAAAAATGTACTGTCATAGTTACCCATATATCGTAATTAACAATATAATGCAAACATTTCATTACCTGTTGACTGTTGATTCACACACGCATAGCAACCTAGAAACTGACTACGGCCAAAGTGTTAATTTACCCTATTTTTAGTGTTTTTCCTTAATAAAAAAAAAATTAGACTACAGATTTTTGAGAAAATTGTAATGTTATAGTTCCATTTTAGATCTACCTTTGGTCTAATTTTTAGATCTAAATCTCTAAAACTTTGCTTGAAAAAGTGGAATAAAGAAAAAAATTCTATCCCTTCTAAGGGAAAAGGTTTATGATATTTTTTTGTTTTGTTAATGTTTATCGATAGTACTATGTTTGAAAAACAATTCATATTAATTTAGAATATTTTCAAATATTTTTAAAAAAGTTATAATTTGTAAATGTTTTGGTTGTTTTTCAATTTTTACTAGTTTTTCAGGGTTTTCTAGTTTTTCTAGTTTTTCTAGTTTTTTAGGTTATTCTTATTTTTCAATTTTTCAATTTTTTCTAGTTTTTCAATATTTTCAATTTTTTCAATTTTTCAATTTTTAAAATTTTCTAGTATTTCTAGTTTTTCAGGTTTTTCTTATTTTTCAATTTCCTCTAGTTTTTCAATTTTTTCCGGTTTTTCTAGATTTCTAGTTTTTTTAGTTTTTCAGGTTTTTCTTATTTTTCAATTTTTCAATTTATTCTTGTTTTTCTAGATTTCTAGTTTTTCTTTTTTTTCTAGTTTTTTAAGTTTTCTAGTTTTTCTAGTTTTTCATTATTTTCTAGTTTTTCAATTTTTCCGGGTTTTCTAGATTTCTAGTTTTTTCTTATTTTTCAATTTTTTAGATTTCCAATTTTTCATATTTTTCAAGTTTTCTAGATTTCTAGTTTTTCTAGTTTTTCTAGATTTCTAGTTTTTCTAGTATTTCAGTTTTTCAGGTTTTTCTATATTTCTAGTTTTTTAGGTTTTTCTAGTTTTTCAATTTTTACTAGTTTTTCAGGGTTTTCTAGTTTTTCTAGTATTTCTAGTCTTTCAGGTTTTTCTTATTTTTCAATTTCCTCTAGTTTTTCAATTTTTCAATTTTTCAATTTTTTCTAGTTTTTATCGATTTCTTGTTTTTTCTTCTTTTTCTTCTTTTTTGAATTTTTTCTAGTTTTTTAATTTTTTCAATTTTTCAATTTATTCTTGTTTTTCTAGATTTCTATTTTTTCTTTTTTTTCTAGTTTTTCAAGTTTTCTAGTTTTTCGTTATTTTCTAGTTTTTCAATTTTTCCGGGTTTTCTAGATTTCTAGTTTTTTCTTATTTTTCAATTTTTTAGATTTTCAATTTTTCATATTTTTCAATTTTTCTAGATTTCTAGTTTTTCTAGTTTTTCTAGTTTTTCTAGATTTCCTAATTTTCCCAATTTCTAAATTTTTTCTAGTTTTAAATTTTTTCAATTTTTTCTAGTTTTTCTAGATTTCTAATTTTCAGGTTTTTCTAATTTTTCAATTTTTTCAATTTTTTCTAGTTTTTCTAGATTTCTAGTTTTCAGGTTTTTCTAATTTTTCAATTTTTTCAATTTTTTAATTCTTAAAATTTTCTAGTATTTCTAGTTTTTCAGGTTTTTCTTTTTTTCAACTTTTTTAATTTTTCTAATTTTTTTTTAAATTTTCTAGTTTTTCAATTTTTTCCGGGTTTTCTAGATTTCTAGTTTTTTTTTATTTTTCAATTTTTCATATTTTTCAATTTTTTATAGATTTCTAGTTTTTTTAGTTTCTCAGATATTCATATTTTTCCATTTTTTCTAGTTTTTCAATATATTCAATTTTTTCAATTTTTCAATTTTTAAAATTTTCTAGTATTTCTAGTTTTTCAGGTTTTCTTATTTTTCAATTTTTAAAGTTTACTAGTATTTCTAGTCTTTCAGGTTTTTCTTATTTTTCAATTTCCTCTAGTTTTTCAATTTTTCCGGTTTTTCTAGATTTTCAATATTTTCAATTTTTCAATTTTTTAAATTTTCTAGTATTTCTATTTTTCAATTTTTCTAGTTTTTCAATATTTTCAGTTTTTCTAGTTTTTCTAGCTTTTCTAGTTTTTTCTTATTTATCAATTTTTTAGATTTTCAATT